ACAAAAGATATTAAGTTTCAAATTGGATTTAGTTTAAGCTAGAAGACTAGTTTATTTGTAAAGATGATAAGTCAATGTTTGGAATTATTCACTTTGTGCACTAAATTCTCATGATTGGCGTCTAGCGTGAATGGTTTCCCTATAAAATGCTCTTTTGTGGTTTACTTGAATGCTTATTTGTGCGGATTTTGTTAATGTCTGCTTGGATGCTTAAGTAAATGAAGTAAAATTGGAATTGAAATATTGGTTGCTTTATCATTTGTCTATCGTTAGGAGCATGCTAGGCCGACCACACTTGGGTAGGCAAGCCTTAGGATATTTAGTTTAATTTATAATGTTTGAACGTAAGGTGAGAGGTTGTCCCTTAGATAAATTCATCCGGGGAATGCCCCGTGGACTTTGTAAATATTTTAATCCGGGGAATGCCCCGAAGTGAATATAAATGGAGGTCGTGGCATCATCAATGGAGGCGTAGTACAGGCTAGGAGGACTTATTTCATTTTGTTTTCATTTTTCCTTTATTAGGAAGGGACGACCTCGAACCTTTTGGATGTTTATTTTCCTTTGTGTGTTTTTACCTCAATTCGAACATTCTAAAAGCCGACTAGATCAAGTATGCAACCGTACTAGTTACGGGACTCGGGGAATGCCTAACACCTTCTCCCCGAGTCAAATGAACCCCCTTACCCGAATCTCTGGTGCGGACTTAATTTTGGAGTCCAAAGTGTTTAAAAAGGAAAAAATTATTTTTACAAAACGGTGACTTGACACACCGAAACCAATGTCAGGTGGCGACTCTGAGTTATATCTTTTAAAACACAATCCTTTGTCACTTTCATAATTGAAAACCCTTTTGAGCTTAACAAAATCTTTTTATTAATTTAAGAGGGTTAGTGAGGTTTTAAAAAAAGGGGTGTGACAATTGGAAACTGCAAATGGTTTCATGTACCATCCAAAGTGTGCCAAACTAAGACTTATTCAACTTGGTTTTGCTAACGACCTACTTTTGTTCGGTAGAGGTGACATAACTTCCACCACTCATCTTTATGGCTGTTTTCGGAAATTTTTGGCTGCATCAGGGCTGATTGCAAATGTATCCAAAAGTTCAATTATTTTGGTGGGGTTAAGGAAGTGGTACAACAACAGATTATCCACCTGCTCGGGTTTGTTAAGGGTGAGCTGCCATTTAGGTACCTTGGAGTGCCCTTTAGCGCAAAAAGGTTATCGATTATGCAATGCCAACCTCTTCTGGAAAAGATGACTGGTAGAATAACTACATGGACAACCAAATTTCTATCTTATGCGGGCAGAGTACAACTTATCAAAAGTGTATTATTTTCAATTCAGACATTTTGGTCCCAAGTATTTGTTCTACCAAAGAAGATTCTCAAAAAGATTGAAGCATTGTGTAGAAGCTTTCTATGGACAGATGGTGCTGATACATCCAAGAAGGCACTAGTTGTGTAGGACAAACTATGTTATGCTAAGTCAGCAGGTGGGATTAATCTTATAGAAATCCAAATATGGAACAAAACGGCCATTGCAAAATTATTGTGGAATCTAAGCAAAAAGAAAGACACACTTTGGATACAATGGGTACACATTTACGATGTGAAGCAAGGGCTAGTATAGGATACATATCCCAAGCAAGCCTCATGGGTTATTCAGAAGATATTCAGAGCAAAGAGATATGCTGAGGAGGTTGGGTACGACTGCATAAGATTCCAGGCAATGACGAACTTCTCTATCAAAGCATTCTACCAAAAGTTACTGGTGTATTTCCTAAGGTGCCTTGGAGGAGATTAGTGTGTAACAACTATGGAAGTCCTAAATGGATCTTTATTGTCAGACTAACTGCTTTGGGGAAATTGGCTACTCAAGACAGACTTGCAAGGTGGGGAATGAATGTCGATATAAAGTGCCCTTTGTGTTTGACTAAAAATGAGACAGTGTCTCACCTTTTCTTTGAGTGCCAATTTGCTTCTAACATTTGGAACAAAATGCTCCGATGGCAAGGAATAAGTCGACACGCTTTCAGGTGGCAGGAGGAGTTGGAATGGATGGTAAGAAATTGCAAAGGGAAGTTTGCCAGTTCTCACATCAATAGAATTGCTATTACAGGTTGTATATACCATGTCTGGAAAGAGAGGAACCCGAGACTTTTTCAAGGCAAAAGTACAAGTGTAGAATGCATTGTTAGAACTGTCATACAAGAGATCTTCTACTTGGGAAGCTTGAAGTCCAAGATTAAGTTGGAAAATCTGAATTTCTACCCTTCCTAGAACTAGGAATCAAGAATAATAGTTAGAGTAGTATGGTGTTGTTGTTGTTGGACATGCGATACAGGGTTCCAACAATTCTTTTCCCTCTGCTTGTAATTCATTGGTTAATAAAATTCTTCAAAAAAAAGGACTTAAATTCCTACAAGGTACAAATAATTCTGTTGGTGGCAACCTTGTCTTTAGCATCAGGGTCCGCACGCGATGCCGCTGGCTGCAAGGCATGGGTCGATTGCGCTGATAACGGGCGCGTGCTGGGGCGTAACCTGCTAAGGGGCGATGTTGGCATCTGCCTACGGCTGGGCGCTGGCGAAGGCTATTAATGGGGCGACATAGGAACATGCACGCTTGTCACTTGGCGACCAAGACCACGGGGCCGTCCATGGCGCTAGGCTTTAGGGGGCTTGCCAGGGCACCATGGGACGCATCCAAGGGGTCATGGGGCATGGTTAGAAAGCTGCCCATGACATTCTCCCCCACCTAGGTTGGCGATGTCCTCGGTACCGTACTTGCAAGATAATCATCGATCATACTCTTATAGGCTTTGAGGTTTGTTCCCCTCTCCCAAGTATTCTCCTCTGTATCACAGTCCTGCCATTTCACCAAGAACTCTTGGTGATCTTTCCTTGAAGCGTGAACACTCGATCATCGATGATAGCTTCTGCATGCCTTTTCCTGGTTGAATTGGGGCCTCGAATACTGGGTATTGTGAGTTGGCTCCGCGAAGGATCCTCCATGTCTTCCCGAGAAGGTTTCACAAGGCTGACATAGAAGATTGGATAAATCTTCCACTAGGCCGAGGTATCCACCCGGTATGTAATTTTTCCAATGAGCTTCTCAATGGATAAGGGTCCAATGTATTTTTGCAATAGGTGAGGGCCATGGATCCATGTAACAAAGTGACGATTTTGATCAGCATGTTTTTTCATCCTCTTTTGGGCTTTCACAAGATAGTTTCGCACTATCTCCAAATTTAGCTTTCATTCTTTCAAGAAGCTAGCGACTTGAGGAGATTTTGACATGTTTGGGGCATTCACAATTTGTGGGAGTAGCGATTGTTGTCCGATAATAATTTCAAAGCGCTTATGTTTACACTAGAACTATTTTGTGAATTGAAACATAATTGAGCAGCATCCAAAAGCTTCACCCAATTCTTTTGTTTACACTATATATTTTGGGGCTGCTACAAATGTAGCGTATCTCGAAAACCGATCTACCACAACCAAGATAGTTGTAAGATCTCCGACCTTGCGTAATCAGGTGATGAAATCCACTGACACGCTTTCCCAAGGTCTCTTTGGAATTGGCAATGGCTCCAAAAGTCCCGCTTGTGTCAAGCGGTCAAACTTGTCTTTCTAGCATACTATGCAATTCTTCGCATACTGAGCAACATCATATGTCATTTGAGGCCAATAATAAGCACGGCGCAACAATGCCATGGTGCATTTTTCCCCTGGGTGGCCAGCCCACAAAGTATCATGGCATTCCATCAGAAGAGTCCTTCACAGATCTCCTCCTTTAGGAACATAAAGTCGGTTCCCTTTCACCTTCAGGAACCCATCTTCCATGTAGAACTAGCGAGTCTTGTCCCTTCCTACTAGGTCGACCAAGTACTGTGCAGAAGGATCCTCGGTTAGTACATCCTGTATCTGGGCTTTTATAGTGGTGGCCACTTCACTCCCCCCTTAAAGTGGCGAGTAGGCACATCGATGATAGGTCAGCACTCCGACTAAGCACATCAGCAACTTGGTTGATCTTCCCATTCCAGTGCTCCAGGTCGAAGTGAAATTCTGTTAGGAGTTCCTGCCACCTGTACTGTCGGCCATTCAGATTTGGCTGGGTCATGAAATGACTAACATCCCTGTTGTCTGTCTTGACCAAGAATGGGGTTCCCAACAGATAGTGCCTCCAAAGGCGTAAGAAGTGGACGAAAACCAATAATTATTTTTTGTGGGCGGCATAGCGTCGTTCTGCATCCTTCAACTTCCGGCACTTGTATGCAATTGGATGCCCCTCTTGTAGCAAAACTCCGCCCAGAGCATAGTCGGAGGCACCCATTTGTACTTTGAATGGCTTGTCCAAATCAGGAAGAGCCAAGACGGGGCTACTAGACATAGCCGCTTTCAATGCGTTGAAGGCTTCTGCTCGCGTAGAACGCCAATCCCAAGGGTGACTTTCTTTAGGAGTTCTGTCAACGACACTTCAATGAGAGAGTAAATTTTTCACAAACCGCCGATAAAAGTTGCATAAGCCAAGGAACGCCCTCAAGGCGTGGATATCCTTAGGCGGCGACAAATCTGTGACAACCTGAATCTTCTGTTGGTCCATCTTGATCTGTCATTCTCCTTCCTCGATGACATGTCCGAGGAAGTCGATCTATTTTTGGGCGAAAGATCACTTGGATAGCTTCACATATAATTCGTGCTTCTACAGTCGAGCTAAGACCTTCCACAGGTGCTCCTGGTATTTGATTAGTGTGGGTTTTAACCACTTATTAGTACCTTCTTGCTTTAGTTTTAGCCGAAAGTAGTGATTTTTGTTTCCAAATCTAATGAAATTGTGTGAATTGCACGCATGTTGGAGGATTGGAGATAAATGAAGAAATCTAACTCAAAAAGAAGTATTACAACTCAACAAGGCAAAAAGGAGAAATGCAAGCAGAAGTGCGGTCCGCAGATGATCATGCGGTCCGTAGAAAGAAGTGCGGCCACAGATAAAGCCTTAAAGTCTCTGAGGAGTTTTGTAGAAGCGCGGTCCACACACCAAATTATGCATTTTGCGGGCCGCACTGACAAAGTTTGATAAGTTCAGAGAAGATGCAGAATACCAAGTGTGAAGCCTCTTGAGAATGCGGTCCACAGTCAAAATGTGCGGCCGCAGAAGCTGAAGTTCAGCCACAAAGATAATTATGCGGCCGCAGATTTCCTCCTAATGCAAGTAGAAAAAAGTGCGGTCCGCACATGAAATTTTGCGGCCGCAGAACCTCCCGTAGGGCATTTTTAGCAACGAAATTTTAGACACTATAAATAGACCGGAAACACTTTTTAGGGCAACTTTTGTATTCCTAGCAGCTGTAGCGGTTATATTTTATCTTTTTGGGAAAAACCTGATTGGAGAAGACCCACTACTTTTATTTTTTTAATTGTAGTTTATGTCTTCGATTACTTCTTCTATCTTAGTTTCAATGTTTTCAAGCATGAGTAGCTAGATTTTAACTAGGGTTATGACCCAACCCCGGTGTGTAAAACTTATGGGTTATTAATACTAGTGCTTGTTTATGATTGGGTGTTTGTTATTTAGTCTTATTCATGCTTCATATCTAGAATTAATGGGTGCAAACATTGACTTATGCCTATTTGGCTTAGTTCTTACTTGTGAAAAAGGAACCTAGTCTAGGTAAACTTGGGTAACAAGAAATTGAGCTAGTTAAGATTTTGCACTAGAGACAGGAAAAAACCGACTTGAATTCATATCAATTGCTTAGATTGCTACCCACTTGGACTTGAGAAAGCCAATTTGGGCATAACCACTCTATGACAGAGAGGTATTGAGTGGGTATTTGATAATTGAGAGTCATAATACACCCCGATCTACCAAGAAACCACTAACTTAGTATACCCGTTAGGTTTACACCTAGGTGAATGTTACATCCCTAGGCTTTTCCTTAATTGATTAAAAATACCAAAAACAATTCATTCTGTAGTTGCTATCACTTAGTCTAGTTACTAGCTGTTAACTTAGATAACAATTACCCACTTTGTTTGAAAGTATAATTAAGCTATTTCACGTTCTCTTCTTGAGTATTTACCTTAATACCGATCTTAATCTCTCTGTGAAATTCGACCCCGACTCAAGTTGGGTATTATAATTACAACAATCGTTTTCTACTTATTATTGAGTGTGGATTGGACGTGATCAGTATTCCACCAACGTTTTGCTATATACCACAATATCATCCAAGTAGAGCACTACGAATTCGTCAATGTACTCTCGGAAGACTTGGTTCATTAGGGTGCAAAATGTGGCTGGAGCATTAGTCAAGCCTAATGGCATGACCAAGAAGTTGTACGACCCAAATCTTTTCACACAAGTCATTTTGTGTTCATCTTCCTCAGCAATCCGGACTTGCCAGTAACATGTCTTCATATCTCTCAGCAATCCGGACTTGCCAGAAACCTGTCTACATATCTATTTTGGTAAACACTGTAGCACCACCCAATCTATTGAATAGGTCCGCCATTTGCGGGATAGGGTACTTGTTCTTCAAGCTTTATCTTGTTTAGGGCCCAATTCCACACAGAGTCGTAGGGTGCCATCATGTTTCTTTTGGAACAACACAGGGGACCCATAAGGGGACTTGGAGGGCATAGTGATCCCCGTGTCCAGCATCCCCGTCAACTGTCTCTGAAACTCAGTGAGTTCGGGTTGTGACATTCTGTAAGGCGCCCGGGCGGGTGGCTTTTCACCCAGCACCAACTCAATCTCATTGTCCACAGTTTGCCTAAGTAGGAGCTGCTTTGGCATATCCTGTGGCATGACATCTTCAAACTCCTTTAGCAGCTCCTTCACGGGTGCATGAATGAGACCCGAAGAGCATTCAATATCTCTAATACACTAGGTAGCTAGAAATGTAGGTTCATGTCTTTTGACTCCCTTCTTCAACTGTAGGGCTGAGATGTTCCCCGTGGACATGGTTGTGCATGAGATAATGCAGGGCTTGGCCCCGTTTAATCCCATTATTAGTAGCAGGTCTGCATAAGGTACAGGAATGGTGTTGGTTTGCCTCATGAATTCCAATCCAACTATCAGTTTGAAGTCATCTATAATCACCAAACGCAAGTTGAATTTTCCTTCGTAAGGACCCAGCTTCACCGACACTCCTTTGGTTATTCTACTCACTGGCTGAGGCAGTGAGTTGATAGACTTGACATGACCTCTGCCCTTTCCTATGACTAGACTAAGGCGATCTACCTGAGTTGAGGCTAGGTAATTGTGAGTAGCACCCGTGTCTATCATCGTCCGAATGGGCTTGCCATTAACTTTAATTTCGGCGAACATTAGGGTCTTCTCCTGGTTAAGAGGAGGCTCCTTATCCGCCTTCATTTTCCTTTTCCTCGTGGCTGTGCATGGGTCCTTCTTCTTACAGATGCTGGTACTAGTTCCCATTAAGGCCTCATAAATAGAACAAACAAGTGCAATGAAGGCACCTATTGGTTCTGTCTGGTCAACATCGTCATCCGCCCCATCATCAAAAGTTTGATGGGCGTTCATTTATGCTTGTGGGCATTCATTACTCCAATGTGGCCCGCTGCAATGACAACATCCTTAAGGAGGCTTCCTCCCCCGATCATTGTCGTGAGAGGCTTACATTTGGTTGCACCGATCTCCTCCACTTCTGCTAGGGCCACCATTGCTAGGTTGACCCCTTTTGTATCCTCCTCGGACAAGTGGTTGAGGCCTATCTTTCCGAGCTTCCACTTGGTAGTCCCTAAGGCATTCCGCAACTTGGACACCTTAGGTAAAGTATCTACCCTTTGTCTTTGCAGCTCCATACGGGCATAAGGTTTCAAACCTTCCAGGAGCGAGAAGAGTTTGTATTTGTCCCCTATATCTTGTATGTTCAGCATAAGTGCGGAGAATTCAAGCACATAATCTCGGATTGACTTGGTCTGGTGGAACTCTCGGAGCTTTCTCCCTGCATTGTATCCAACATTTTCAAGGAAGATTGTAAGCGTATGGCTGCCTTCAGGTCTCCCCATGTCTCAAGAGTATTTTCACCAGCCTTGGTAGCTTCTTATTTCACCCGCCACCAAAGTTTAGCGTCACCCTTAAGATACATGGTAGCCGTTGCTACCTTCTTTGCTTCTTCTAGCTCCCCCATAGCATCGAAGTACTGTTCGATGTCAAATGTGAAGTTTTCCACTTCTTTGGCATTTCGAGCCCTATTGTAGGGCTTTGGTTCAGGGATCTTGATTTTTTGTGGCATATGGGCGAGGTTCACAGCACCACTGATGTGGTTTCCGCCTCCTCGGAGTAGGCCTTATAACACACCTTGCTAATATTAAGCTGACCCGTCAAGTTATCTATGATTTTCTGCATGACAGTCACCATATATGCCTCCTATGCCCTATGGGCTAAATCCTCCGTCCACTCGTGTTGAAGCCCCTCAAATTTTCTGAAATTTCGGCTGCCTCTGTGGCTACCATTTGTCGGTCTCCTTCAGAGTCGCGACTGATGTTTGCAATTCTCCTTTGGCTTGCCGCATCCTACGGTCCAGGTCGTCACCTTTGCACTAGGCTGATTCTTAGATAAGGCACTGTATTCGCGATGGGTCGTAATACGTTAACCGTCTCTTCAAGGGCCGCAATGCGTCCCCATGATCCACTATGGTCAGAAATAAGGGCAATGGCAATTTGTTCCTTCGTTCGATATCGAGCCTAGGCTCGGCTACCAACTATTACGCGACGCCTTCCTGAGATGTCTTGGAAGGGCGACACAAGGCTAAGGAACGGATGTCTGTGCGGTTAGTATCCGCCAACTGGGGTCCCCTCCGTACAAGACTGTCAGTGATGTACAGGAAAATCGATGTCAAGAGCAATTGAGAAAAAAAAAAAGAGAATGTGAATGAAAGAAAGCTTGATTGCATTAATGAAAGCTATTACAGAAAGGCAACACGACATCCAGGGGAAGAGACACCAATACAGAGAATTGTTTGCTTGCTTGAAAGTTTGACTACTTGATCCCCCTAATAATGCTTAAAAAGAAAACCAAAGTTACAGGACTTGACATAAATAAGCTAGAGAATCATAATGGAAATAAAGAAAGTAAAACTACTCTATATTTACAACAAAAAGGACTTAGATTCCTACAAGGTAAAAGCAAGTTCGTTGGCGGCAACCTTGTCTTTAATATCAGGGTTTGCGCGTGCGGCGCTGGCCGCAGGGCATGGGTCGATTGCGCTGACAACGGGCACGCGCTGGGGCATAGCCTGCCGAGGGGCGCTATTGGCATTTGCCTGCGACCGGGCACTTGCGAAGGCTATTGATGGGGCGACACAGGAACAGATGCGCTTGTCACGTGGCACGACCAAGACCACGAGGCCGTCCATGGCGCTAGGCGTTGGAAGGCAGCCAATTTTTATCTCATCTTAAACTTCGAAATGAATTGTTTTTTTCAATGTATTTAAACTAGTAAGTGATCCTCAACTATCGTTTAATTTACAATTACATATTAGATTTAAAAAAAATGTGGGAGATAATATCATTTTTCTATGATTAATTAAGATAAATTTTATATTCTTGATGTAAAAAATATAATTGATAAAATATGATTTGGAAGTTGATATTTCCACAATTATTTTATTTTACTTTTTTTTTGGGTGATTTTGGGACCCACTATCCAACAGTTTCCTAGAAGCACATGTTGGATTTTGGAAGTGATCAGAATAAACTCCAAGTTCAGGGTCAGCTAACAAGAGACACTGAAAAATGGCGATGGAGATGAAGATGAAGATGAAGGAAGCTTTGCCATACATAGGAATGGTGTCAACACAATTTGCACAAGTGGGTTTAATGATTGTAGGCAAAAAAGCCATGTCCGCTGGAATGACCAACTTCACTTTCGTCTTCTACTCCAATGCTCTTGCTTCCCTTATTCTCCTCCCTTCTTTCTTCTTCTATAGGTCAACTCGTCCTCCACTCAATTTCTCATTTATATGTGGATTTTTCTTGCTGGGAGTTCTTGGGTATGTGATTCCAATTAGCTGTTTCTTGAATTAGCAATTGGTAAAGGTCTAATTTTAGTAATGCGTTTTTCATGATTTGGTGTAGTTGTTCAGCTCAGCTAACAGGGTATGCTGGGATTAATTATACTTCTGCTTCATTTGCCTCAGCTATGCTCAATCTCATCCCAGGTTTTACTTTCATACTTGCCGTCATTTTCAGGTTTCCACCCTCTTCTCACTTTTGTTCTTGTTGATTTTAGAGTAGAATGAACACTAATACTCACTTCGTTTCATTTTATATGATCAATTGATCATGTTTGATTGGACATTGAGTTTTTAAAAAGATAGAAAGACTCCCACGAACTTGTGGTCTTAACTATACCATGACATTTCTATAGCTAAGAGTAAGGGTAGTTAAAAGTTACCAAATATGGAAATGATCATCTTCTTTCCGGAAAAGACTAAAAAAGAATGAGTGTCATATAAAATGGAATGGAGGGAGTATTAAGCGAGCCAGTTTATTCACTTTCTAGCTTTTTAGAAAACAGATTAGTATATTGTTCCCTTCGAACTGAAGTGTTCGTAATTTTTATTTTTCTACTTGGTATACTTATGTTTTCAATGTTACAAATATTGCAGTCAGTAGTATGTTTGTTTTCATCACAGTTTCTTCGTTTTCGATAGTCAGTATAATTGTTTTCTAATTCAACTGAATGGTTATTTCCATTCAATTAAAGAGCATGTGTAAACAGAAACAACGCAATGAGGATGATTCCCGGGAAATTAAGGAACCATGGAAGGAAGAATAAAATGGTGGAAATAAACAGAATATTGTACAGCACCATGAGTTTAGCTATCTATAATTCTTGATTTGTTAAACTAAAACATGTTCGCATTGAACTGGAAAAAGTGAATGTATACAAAAATGCCTCAATATTCTTTGTTGGGGGTGCTGTGTTTCATATTCCTTTTCATCTGCCATTTGGTTATGAAGAGTTAAAAGAAAATATGAAGTAAAAAAGGAGCACATACACATGCATATATATTACCTGCAAGCACACACATTAGTAGGTCATATCATTTTAATAAACCTGCTAAAGAATCTTTCAGTGCCGTCTCCTCTCTTTGTAAGCTTCATTGATGTAATTGCATACTATAGATATCTTCGATCACAAGATACTGGAACAAATAACAAAAATGCACATTTTTCTTTGCTTTCTATCAGGATGGAGAAATTAGATTGTCGAAGTACAAGTACCCTGATTAAATCTGTTGGAACTGTCGTCTCAATTGCTGGAGCCTTCACTGCCACTCTTTACAAGGGACCACAAATTTTGTTGACTTCCTCATCTTTGAATCCTCAAAATTATCTTCATTTTCAGGAAACTGACTGGGTGATTGGAGGACTATATCTGGTAGTGGATTGCGTAGCGGCTTCAGCGTATCTAATTGTACAGGTGTGCGAATAACTCATTGAAAGTCACACCTTTGTTAGTTGAGAATCGGCGCTGGAACTGATGTATTTATTCTTTTTACAGGCTTCCGTCCTTAAAAGTTATCCAGTTGAGCTGATTGTGGTCTTCTTTTACTGCTTCTTTTCCTCCATTCTATCAGCAATAGTCTCTCTGTTTATGGACATGGACCTGAATGCTTGGATGCTACAACCTGGTACGAGATTGTTCGCTGTTCTATACTCAGTAAGTAGGTAAAATGTGTGCATTACATTATAGGATTTGCTCATATTGTTACCATGCTAAGATAATTATCGACGAAGCTGATGTCAGGGTCTGTTTGGGTACTTCAATAAATAGATGATTCATGTTCAATTGTGAATGGTATGAATTTACTTAATCTGATTCTAGCTTTCTGCCTGCTTGGTATCAGAAGTAAATTCAAGCTAATTGTACATTTTCCTCCACCTAACCCCTTGATCTGAACTTGATCTTTACTTGGCTCAATTTGTTCCTATTAGACTAGACTTTCCCAATTGCAACCTAAGGATACAGCTTTTTTTTCCCCCTACTCTTAGTTAATGTAAGTTAGTGCATTTTGCTAAGGTGGGATCAATTTCGGTACTAAACTAGACAAGGAGTTTGTTCAAAAATATGAATCTCAAAACGCTAATACAAAAGAAAGGTCGAGAGGGATAAGCTGGGTCAATGTGAGGCTTATATGTTTTCACACTGAATTTAGTGGCTGTTCCAAGGTTTTCAGGTTGGAAAATATGTGCTGTAAATTAGTGATACGAAAGTGAGAAGGAGAAGAAGATATTGGCAAAGTGATCAATGAATAATAGATACTTCTAATTTCAGAAGAGTTTGTTTCTTCGTGTGATCCGCTTAAGATTGAAAGATTCACATACTGCCTTTATACGGTTAGCTAAATTTTTTGGCAACAAATTGCTTCAACTGTGGAAATATCTTGACATATCGTGTCTTCTTAACAGGCAAACCTTTCATGGGCTTGGTGCCCATTTCCCTTTCAAAATACACTGAACAGTGATTTTGGAATCTTTAGTGGTAATTAGAACAGTTTTTTCACTATATAGCTAGTATATTGAATTCTCTTACTTACTTTCTCTACCAGCTTGCTAATGATATTTTAAATTACAACTACGTGCTTTGCTATTTAAGAACAATTACTTCCAAAGACTACTAAACCAAGACAAATCAAAACTGTCCTCATAATCACTTAGTAAAACAAGACATAGGCTTACATAACTTCTATTGATGTGCTAAAATCTGCTAAGGAGTGATATTAGCTTTGAATTTGGTTTATCTTGTGTTCAAGAAATTATTCAAATTACCCTGGCCTAACAGTTGTCCATTTACGGTGGTTTAGCTTCCGTCTTCTTCTATCCAGCTATTACACTTTATTCCCAGTGGTTCCTTTGAGAATACGTTAGCTTGTGCATCTTAGAAGAAGCCTAATTACAAGACAATTATAAATCTTTTGAGCTTTATCAATTGAGAATAATGAATTTTTGGTTTCTTATTTGATCGGCGTCGAGAGGTACATCAGTTTCCTTCTACAGCACATCTCAACCATCTGACCCTTCTTCAGCATATCTCAACCATCTGACATGTATTTTGCTTTTCTTAGGGAATTTTTGGCTCTGCATTTCAAGTCAGTGTAATGTTTTGGTGTGTTCGTAAAAGGGGGCCTCTCTTTGTTGCTATGTCCCATCCTCTGGGAATCGTAATTGCTGCTGCATTGGGTATCATCTTCTTAGGAGATATTTTCTACCTTGGAAGGTATTGTTATATTTCTTTGACAACCTTACAAATCTATAAAAGTGTTGGCAAAATGGACTACATGAGCCTAATCATCACTTCTGTTACAGCTTGGTGGGGTCAATTGTAATTGTCGTTGGCTTTTATGCTGTGATGTGGGGAAAAACACAAGAAAAGAAGGTCGATGAAGACAATATGTCAAGAAATATCAATTCAAAGGCTCCGCTCTTGCAACAAAAGGATGCAGAGGCAGAAGTTTAAGCACAAGATAAAAGCATATATTATAGGTACGTCCATTTTTTAGAATCTAACTGTTTAAAGCAAATGGGAATACGATTTCTGTGTATCCTTTGTGTATAACTATATCAAGAGATACTCGAGCAAAGTCTCTTAGAGCAGTCTGCTTCACTGTGAAAGATGATTTAAATGTATACCTAAATCTCCTAGGTCTTTGTAGCTTATTCCAAGTCCAAGAACTTTATGTATTTAGTCCGTACGACTTAGTTATGAAACTTCAGGGGACCGAAAATGATTAACTTTGGGCTGGATGGGGCGTGGTTTGGACAATTCTGACTCTTGCTCCTTTTGCTTATGTTTTCTTTGAATAAGGATGTAGACGAGCCGTCACATCCTATTTGGGCTCAGACCCTTCGATAGAGTATAAATCTCAGGGAATTATAAGAAACAACAGAACAAGGGAATATTTGTAAAATGTACTCTCTTTTTAACTTTTGCTCACCAATATTCTAGTATAATAGCCAATATATAGACCCACATGTATGACATCCTTGAATCAAACATTATGGGGAAGTACCTGTCGATCCTTCCCAGAAAGAAAAATTGCTATCTTTTTTTCTTAGAGTACGTCCAGAAGACGTTTTAGGATTTTATTTAGAGTTTGTTTCCTAAGAGCAAGTGTAATGCAAGAATTTGTCCTTTCTATTCTCTGTTCTTGGCATGTCAATGATTATAATGATAACTATTCATTATCCCTATATGCTCTTCCGATTTCAGAAATCGGTGCTGTCAAATATGAATTTGGCATTCAAATGTTGTGGCATTCCAATTTCCATTTATAAGGGGTTCTCCTTTGTATTCAAAAGATAGCAATAAGATCAAGCTTTAACATAATATTTATTTAGAAGATGAGATTTTGACATGGATGCAACGTGAGGAAGTAATACTTAAATGTCGATAGGCCTTTTATCACAGAGATCAATGTGGGAGTTAGAAGTATAGAAGTGGTTGGCCGTGGTGATAAGACAGATTAAGTGTGGAGCAGGCTAGATTGGGGGAAGAAAATATATGCTCTAAAGTTGGAGACAGTTCTAATCTAGTTAGAAGTTCCAAATTTGTGATATATAGGAATTTCCTAGTATATGCGCTACAGCTCTGTCTTAGTTTTGGCAGCTCATAACATGTAAGCTACAGCTGAACCAGTCCATTGAGAATTTCTTCAATTTAGAGCTGACGTCCACCATAATTCAATCTCATCCTTTTAATTTATGTTGAATTCTTCTGCATAAACCCTTCCAGATACAAACCTATTGACTTCAATGTATATATCGTAAGCTAGACGGCTTGTTTTCAGTATTATAAGATGTAACAGGTCCTAAGGATTATATGTAAAAAGATGAGTTGGATAGAAAAGGTCATATTTGCTTCACAGTGAAGAAAAGGTATAGGTAGCCTGTGGTGTCCAATGTGCCAACCATCCCGAGGAATTACTTTATGATATTATTGTAAACATTGTAATTTGTTGCAAATGCACTTGTTATTGGCTTGCAATAATCTTAATAGTATGCACATATTAGGATGTAATATAACCTTTGATTTTGTAGCGCAGTTGGTCTTTTGAAACATTTTTTCTTCAACCTACATATATCCTCTCCTTATCTTCTTTTATTTCACGGATCTGTTCTGTTGGTGGATTGAGCATCAAGTAAAAGATCTAGCTGTGCTTTACAGAATGAACTGTAAACTACTGCAGGACTGAATGATATATTTCGGAAGAGAAATGGTGAATCAGTTTTTAGTGGACAAACTATTAATGATCTCAAAGCATATGCGGCTCATTATAGTTTTATCTTGATGAAACTTATGAACTAAATTAATAATAAGAATGATGCTTTGCATGACTTGAGAAGAACAAGAAAGAGAGAAACATACCATTTTTTTTGATAAATAAATGAATGATAGAATGCCACAGATTTTTTTATCTATAAAACCAGAAATTTATTCTTTCAGTGTTTGAAGAAGTTGACATTGTGTTATAGTGTGATATATATGTGCATTTGAGGATTTTATATTAAAAATTGAATATATATATTGACATAACATTGTATTTGATGTTTCAAAATGCACTTGTCGTTGACATTTTATGTTGAATAATCTGAATGGAAGCAAAGAACTGATAAGAGGGTTTTTTTTCGAAAAAAATTGATAGAGCTTGCATTGTCTCCTCATGTTACTGAAAGCAGCATTGGTTATTACAAAGTCAAGTATGACTGTATGTATAAGATAGCTCATTCTTTGCCTCTAAAAAGAAAATTAGATGACTCATTGCAAAATGCCTCATGCCTCTGTGTAGGAGGCACTTTAGATGGTTGTGTCCCATCTTTTCATGTCAATGGAAGTATGATCATGACTTATTCTCACATGTCATTTTCTTTCTAATATCAGTATGTAATGTGTCATTACAAGTCTTTTGTTCCCGATAAAGATCGATTTGCATGACTGCTTATTTGGTTGATGCCAGTTTCACTATAAGCTCTAGCGTGACTTTGTTACCGATTTTACAAAGTCATACATGACTGAATATATAAGATATCTCATTCTTTATGTATAAAAAAGAAAGCTAGATAACTCTTTGTCAAATGTCCGGCGCCTCTGTGCAGGAGGAGGCACTTTAGATTGTTGTATCCTCTCTTTTCATGTCAATGGTAGTATGATCCTGACTTTTCCTCACGTCATTTTCTTTGTAAAAAAAATCATGTAAGGTGTCATTAAAAGTCTTTCATTCTTGATTAAAGATCTAGTTGCATGGCTTTGCTTATTTGATTGATGCCAGTGCGACTGTAAGCTCTGGCCTGACTTTGCATTGGCTTTTACGAAGTCATACATGACTGAATATATAAGATATATCATTCTTTTTGTATGAAAAGAAAACTAGATAAGTCATTGTGAAATGTTCGACGCCTCTGTGCAGAAGGAGGCACTTTAAATGGTTGTATCCTCTCTTTCATGTCAATGAAAGTATGTCCATGACTTGTTCTGACATGTCATTTTCTTTCTAATAGAATCATATAAAGTTTCATTAAAAATCTATTGTTCTCGATAAACATCTATTTGCATGACTATGCTAGTAGGAGAGTAGGAGGGTAGCAAGTACTCGGTGGAATAGTCGAGATGTGCACAAGTTGACACAGACACCACATTATCAAAAAAATATAGCTATTTGCTTGACTTTCCTTATTTGATTGATGCTGGGACTATAAGCTCTTGCCTGCCTGCAGAATGGAAGAAGTCAAAGCAAGTTGACAGGGCATATTGTGGAAGTTGCAGACATGTAAGCCACAACCAGATGGAAGTCCTCTAATTGTGTAAATTGTTGGAATATTCATACAAAATGCTCACTGTTGCTGTAAATGCAGAGTAGACAAACCTATAAAATGCAAAATAATTCCCCGTAGTGACCTGGTGCATCACTCTTTTGTCAGTGTGTATAATATTATTATTCTGGTCAGCACTGACATTTTATGCAAAGGATGGTGTTATTTGTTATAGAAGTGGAGTATAGTTTTCTCATTTCAAAAGTTCAACTAAAATGCACGAATGTGAAATAATTCCCATTCATATGGTTCATCATAATAACCATAATCAGCAATTAAGCACATATCAGTGATATTAATAGCCTCTTGCAGAAATGCAGGGTAAGGCTGTGTATAATAGACCCTTGTGGTCCGGCCCTTCTTCGAACCCCGCGCATAGCGGGAGCTTAGTTCACCGGAATGTTTTTTTTTTAATGGTTATGCATATCGTGGCTAAAGTTATACCTTAGTAAGTTTGCATGTTTCATCCTTAGGATTATATAAAAAAAGAACTTGTTCTATTAAAATAATAATGGGACAGGAGCTAATATATAGACCATTCAATTAAATTAGTTTTAGAGATAGATGGCTTAGGCACGTTCATCCCTTATGAATGTTGGACAGAGATACTGAGTCTTGGAAGTCAAACCAAAAGTTAGAAAACTAAGATTGGATTTTATCGAAGTTGAACCTTGTGGGAAATATTAGAGCTTAACTGTCCAAAGAGGAGGAATACAAAAAAGTCAACATAAAAAAGTAATTAACAGCAAACCTAACAACAGTAATAATAACCACAACGAGCAATTTTGTTATGTATTTAGAGAAGTGAAAGACCTCTAGCAGGAGAATTTTTCACTCTAGAAGTATTATACATGGAAGTAGTTAGCAAAAAATTTAGCAATATATTGATCTAACTACTCCGTACTAAATGGTTTCATTACCATGATAAACAAAAGTGATTATTTGAGTTGCGTATAAGCCAAGAAATAAATGAAGAGAAAGAGAAGCATTAGATGTGAATGCTAGCTTGAGTGAATGAGAGAAGAAAAATTAACTGTAAACGTTTGTCAGAACGGAGCTGTTTTTTGGTTGTTAACAACCTAGTCAAGTCGTGAGCATTCATTTGTATTCAGCAAGTGTTATTGTCAGCGACTACATTGACCAAATATTAGGTCCATTCAATGGCAAACTTTGTGAAAAAACAAACAAAAATAGTGATGGAGCGGAAAGAAGCAATATATTATATTTTCAATCACGTAGTATAGTACATAGTCGGGGACTCAGAAAATACACCACCAAGAGAAATTGAAGCAGCTTCGGAAACACAATATATTTCTCATTAATTAAGAGGCGAAGATAATATTTGGAGTTGAAAAATCTACTGAGGGCGTGTTTTAAAGGTTTATCACCACTTAATATCCTAGATATCTCAATGTAGAATCCAGAATTCAAGTATAAGAGTTTGTAAAGTCGAAATTAGTCTTTAATTAAAGTCGTAAATTCAATTGTATTCCTCACCACACCATATAATATATGGTGTTCAGCTTCACTACAAATGCCGGCTGCGGGAAGAGACCACTGATAGCTTCCTACTTAATTAATTAAAATGAAATATGTACTAAATTATGCTAATATAACAGCACTCTCAAACTGACTCCAGTTGCCCAAAAAAACGCCTTTACGTATACAAGAAAGGCTGCATATATAAATAACATGACGCCTATTAACACGTACAGAGTTTCTTAATTATGTTTTTTGAACTTAATTATTTAATTTAATAATGAAGGACGATAAGGTACATTTTTTATAAGGTACTTAATATAGCCCCAAAAAAAAATTACGTCAAGACATAGCAATAATTTGAAAAGAAAAAGAAAAAAAGAAAAAACAATCCTTAGCTGGAGCAGCGGCAAATCCAACTGCTTAGCTATGAGTTCAATTGAATTCATAATTTTTATCCTAGACCTGGATTTTTAGTATTAAATTCATTAAAATTGCTTAAAAAATTGAGCTATGAACCCATAGCTCAAACAAGGTGACCTGTTCAGTGGTTGAAGTCGGCCAATAAAATTAAAATCATGAATTCGCCTTTGAACTGGAGGATAATCTGTTTAATATACAACCATAAAAAGAAACCACATTGATAGAATATGAATTGACAAACAATAGTAAGTTTCTACTTTGATGTTGAAGACCATTTCACCCTAAACAAATGATCGAACAATTAAATTAAAATAACAGCGTCAAATATATGCCCTAGAAAAAGAAAAATAAAAACAATAAATTAAGATAAAGAAATCCCTAAAATAAGGTTTGGACAAACAAACATTTGACAAGTATGAGAAGAGCAGTTGGGTCCAAAGATGACAAAAGGGCTCACCTATTATTTCAAAAACATGGTCAGTGGTCACTCCTATGATGACGTTTTACTATAATACTTAGTTTCGGGTCTTTTTCTTCCACCTTTAATTGCTTACGTGCAATCAATAAGAGTTATGGTAGAGTAATAAATATTTCTTTTGTTCTTAATTAGAGGTCTCGAGTTCGAGTCTAAAGTCTGAAGTTGTCTTGTTAAGGAACTCTTTATCCTTAAATATGAAATTTTACAACACAAATATGAATTTAATCGAGCTCCAAGACAAATTCCAAATACCGGGTGGCAAAACAAACCAAAAAAAAACAATTGCTTACGTACTATGGTTTAAACACAAACGAAACTGGAATTGCTGATGTCTTAAATTCTTCTAATTTCTCTATCACTTGCTATATCAACCACCCCCTTAAAATATCCCAACCAGCCAATCAGTTATGAGTATGTCAATCTTGGATGGTGTCATCTCTATTTTCTTAAAATAGATATATGGAGAAGGATGTAATCTTTATCTTTTTTGTATGTTATAAGTTTCGATTTTAGCAGAATAAGCACATAACCTCTCTGGCCCAAATTAACTGACGTTATTAGTTTCAATTTTCAGAAGAAAAAAATGAATTATAAAAATAAAATATATCGTTTTCCCAAATTGTTCATCCTTTTGTGCCTATTGGCAATTTAATGAATCCTCAGAGTAAAGTTAGATATGAAGTAAATTTGTTATTTACAATTGATTTTGATACTAAATAATACTATAAGGGGTCGTTTGGTTGGAATATAATTTATACCGGTATAAGTTATGCCGGTATAAGTTATATTGGGATAAGTTATGCTGCGATTGTTGTTCATTCATTGTTTAGTATGTTGTATTAAGAATAACAATTGCATAATTTCTAAGAAGAAGGTATAAGTTATACCGGTACTAATTACCCCACCTTCTATAAGGTATAACTTATAAGGTATTTGAGAACTCACTTAAGCTAAAAAATTGAATTCTTCATAATTTAACTTCTTTTTTTCCACCTTTACACTAATATTTGTTAAAACATAGTTCGACAATTTAAGGTGACATTATCCACAGAAAACTCACCCAAAGCCACAGAAAGCTATGCATGAAAAGAACAATTGAGGATTTGAACGCTGGTTAAAGTGTGCAGAAGGCACAGCTTTGATGTGATTTTAGTAAAAATGAAAGACTTTTTGGCACAGAAACTCTTCTTTAGCTATTGCAAAAAAATAAAAATAAAACACATTGGATAAATTAGGATAAATGGATTATAAAGATAAAAATTAGTCATAGATATTTGTGTAGTAAAATATTGAGGCAATCATCCATTGTTCGATCATGTCACTGAAGTTGTCTCAACTTGGGTGAAAAAGAAAAAGGCTCTGTAATTTGGAATGATATTAGAATTGTGAGGTGTAATAATGGAGTTGCGAAAAAATATCTAGTAGGGCCATGATTAATTTGAACCACAAAGACAAACCTTGTGGGGACTATATATTATATTTAAATAACTTAATGTTATATTACCTACGTGAAACAATCCACGTAGGACAAATAAGAAGAGTTTCTTGAATAGAGACTATACTATTAATAAAATATTAATTGTTGTGTCACCTCTTGGGTCACTCGAGTTGCTCGTTCCCTTTAAAAGTAGCTTAACCTTTGCATGAAAGGTTAACTTCTTCTGTTTGTATATTGAAAATTTATCATTGCCTTTTCTCCATAAATGAGAGACACACTAAACAAATTAGCCAAACGAGCTAGAAGCTTAGCTAATACAGAGATAGAAAGAGGAAGAGAAAATATGGGTGTAAAAGCTATTTTAGAAGATATTTTGCCATGCACAGCCATGGTTTTAATAGAAATTTGCACTATTTTCTTGACAATTATGGCGAGTACAACCATGTCAAGATTAGGGATGAGCTCTTTTGTTTTTGTGGTTTACACCAACGCTCTTAGCTCTATCATTCTTCTTCCTTATTCATTTCTCTACCATAGAAGAGACAAGTAAATTTTCAACACCATTATTAAGTATTATTTTTTCTTTTTGTTATTTTTATTGTATAGGATGTAATCTGTGTTGATTTTTCTTTCTTTACTTGTTGCAGGATACAAGCGCCATTGTTTACTTTTCCCCTACTTCTTCATGTATCCCTCCTTGGTTTTGTAGGGTTAGTTCTTCTTTCTAATTTCTCTTTTCTTGTTGAACAATATATTAAGAATTACAGAGAAGAGAGGCAGAGAAAATAGAAATCATCATTACAACCTAGTTAGATCGATCATAAGAACAAACTAATTAAGAATAGTGGCTGATGATCAAGAATTTAAACTTGAAAGATTCAACATTAAGCCTCTTACACCGAAAGTTTGTATATTTTGGAATTATAATTTTAAAATTTTAGTGGATTTCGTACGTGCTCACATATATACACACACAAAGTTTTAAAAGGACTGGGTTCAGTTTATAAACCTATTGCATCAGCTTCTGATTAATAACATCACTTATTTAGCGATTTGAATAACTCATTGAAATTTACAAGGACATCATTAACATCACTTGAAAAATTAACTGTGATAGAGAATTTGATTTATGGTTGTTTTTACAGGGTAACAATAGCTCAGAATCTTGCATTTGCGGGACTAAGTTACAGTTCACCAATAGTAGCATGTGGCATGGCCAACCAGATACCAGCCTTTACTTTTATTCTCGCCATATTCCTCAGGTTCTTTCTTCAACCTCTATTTTAATTATTATTTTATATGGCTTATATTGGATGGAATCTTGAAAACTAGATACTAAAGCTGTAGACAAAGAAAAAGATTTGCTCCCACCTTTGTTATTATTTTCTAGTGAGATCCTTTAATTTCTTGCAACTTGAAGATGAAAAGAAGTTAAAGATGATGTAGAAAGAGAGAGACGAACTTGTGGATGATGTTAGAAGTGGGACATCAAATTTGATTAATTAGATTTAAGAGACGTGTATATATATATATATATATATATATATATGGTGGGCACAAGCCAAAATATTTGGATCCAAATTGATGGGCCATATATACCACAAGAAGGGTACTATTATTTTGTATATAGAGAATAGCTATTAATTAATTGGATGTAATTGGTTGGTAGAGAGATGGACCTACTACCAACATGTCACTAGTTTTGCATGTAAAAATAAAAAACTGAAATGCCAAACAACTCCTTCCAATGAAAAGTTATGAACAGATTTCCTAAATAGTTTCGCCAAGAATAAAACAGAAAACAACTCCCAGTAATTTCAGTCTCATCTCGCGTTTGTCCGTTATTGCAACAAATAAACTGGAAAATGAATTTAACTTATATATACAGATAGTATCAGTATATTTTGACTCGTCGTAGTTGATAATCTGTCTTACGTTATAAATTATTAGTTCCATTTTCTATGAACAGCTACTTAAGCAACCAATCACCATGACTATTTGAATATCTTTTATGCATTTATTCTCTGATCTTTAAATTTATTATATATAAAGAAAAGATTTTAATTATATAATTCTTTTCGCAAGGGATCAGTAAAAAAGAACATAAGAGAGTTATGTAAATTAAATAAAATATTAGATCATTTTCTTCTATTCAAATCAGTAAAAATAACACAAGTAGTCTGTACCATTTCCTTAATATAGGCCAAGAAGTATTTTACATACTAGTACTAAATATATCTTTCTTTTAGGAAGTTATCATGCATTAATCATTTATGCTAATCAACATAACAATTGTAGGAAAATAAAAGTTGATTTGAAGAGCCAAGGAAGCCAAGCTAGAATAATTGGAAGCCTAATATCAATAATGGGGGCATTATCAATTACTTATTACAAAGGTCCTGTGGTGAAGCAATACTCCCCATTTTTCCTTCAGCTAGCCAGGCCACGCCTCCTTGCTGTATTCACTTCAACACATGAGAACTGGCTTCTTGGCTGCTTTTTATTTGCAGCTGCTTCATTTGCTCTTTGCATTTGGAATATTATTCAGGTTTAACTATCATTCTTTTTTATTATCTCTTTAGTTTTCTCATTTTGGATATATATATATATTTTCTACTCACAAGTCGAACATCGAAAAATATTTTTTCAGAAAAATCGGTCCATGAAAAATGACTTCCGTCTATATCACACACTCTTTGTATTGCTGTGTATTTACTTGTATTTCTTTTTCTCTAATTTTGATCAGGCTGGAACTATGAGAAAGCACCCACAGGTGATGAAAATAGTGTTTCTCTATACTTTATTTGGGACGATCCAATCTGCAATACTTGCTCTACTTATGGAAAAAGATTTGAGAGTATGGAGACTTGAGCTTAACATGGAACTTCTTGTTATTGTTTTAACTGTAAGCGCAACAAGTACACAATTTTTCCACATTTTTACGTACTTTCTAGTCAATTACAACTAAATTAACATGCAAGTTTTTTTCTTAATTAATAGGCTATTTTCGGCAGTTTAATACGTAGCAGTGTACAAATGTGGTGCATGCGTTTGAAAGGAGCTTCTTTTCCTCTATTCTTCAAGCCAGTGGGAGTGCCAACAGCTAGCACTTGTGGCTGTTTACTTTTTGCCGAAACCTTTCACTATGGAAGGCAAGTTTTATCGTCTTTTTTTCCCCTAAGATTTGAGTTATATATTGACGGTGTAAAAAATAATAAATTTCAGACTATTACTATAATTTAACTTGGTATATATAACATTTGAGTTACCATTTATTTAGATTATCAATATCGAATGCTTATTATATAGAGTTGGTTGCAATTACCATTTTTTTTTTTTTTTATGTTTAAGCAATATTAATATTATTGTTCTTTCCTAACACGAAAATACTGATGAATATTGCAGCATGTTTAGTGCAATTATATGTGGATTGGGTTATTACACTACACTCTGGGGACAACTCAAAGACGACGAAACGGGTAAAAATATTAAGGGTAGTACGTCAACTACTTCTGATGAGAAAGTTCCTCTTCTGCAAGAAAAAGAAGAGGAGGAAGAAGAAGAAGAAGATTCGCCAGTTTAAGATGGAAGAAATTAAGATTAAGATATTTAAATGCTACGAAAGTTGTATATATGTGTTGGAGGATGTATTTTTTGAAGCCTTCCATCGCAAGTTGAACAATGAAATTGTTGTTCAGCTCTATTTTGTATAGTTAGGGGTTATGCGCGCTCGTTTTGATTAATTTGATGGAGAAATATTTTTTTCTGTTTAGGTTTGTAAATATGTTGTAAGTATTGGGTTTGAGATTGATGAAAGATTGTGATTATATAATAATGAGTTTAAGTTATATATATCGTTTTAGTGTAACAAACTTTTTACACTATCACGCGAAGATATTTATAAGAAAATTGTAATCCTAGAGATATCTAACCCGTTATAACAGATAAAACTAACATGTTGGTGTGATGATGTGTGGATAACTTAATCTCTATAAGAATTATTTCCTTCCACGTTTTTGGTCGACTATATATCGGAAAAATGCTCCCTTTTCAGTGCTTACTCAAAAATTGACGTATTGTTTCCTAAGCATACAAAGAAGTGGATTTTTTTCGCTAAACATGAGCAGAATTTACATTTTACAATAGCCACAAAATTTGGAAATTACAAGGATGTTTCAACTTCCAGCTTTTATCCAGAATTAATTACAATTGCGACAAATTTTAGAAAGTGCAAGGACCTTTCTACTTCCGAGTTGTACAAGATGATTTTATTTCTTCTGCTAACACAAGATGATTACCCTACTCTCGTCCTTTTAATTTAAACGCAACTCCACTTTTACGAAAGAGCGGATGATGTATAACTTATCAGAAGTAATAATTAGTTGGACTTCTGTCTAGCTTCTACAGAAAATACTTACTCTTGCGCCCTGGTGTTTATAGCATACCAAACAAATTAATCTCAATAACAACAAACCGAAAGTGAAAATATATACCACTAAATCATATGGAGTAGTTATTTGATAAAGATATGTGTATATGTGTGCGTGTGTATGCATGTTAAAGACATATATGTTGGTGGCTTCTGTGGCGGATTCAAAACTTACAGGTCGTGGGTGCTTATCGGATTTTAGTATAAATTTCAACCATTAGAGCTTTGTTATAGTGGGTGCTCATGGCCACTTTATAGAGTTCTTTAAGTATTATATATGTATAAATTACTAGAATGGCAGGGCATACAGTTGTGATGATGTTGCAGGATGAAATAGACTGGGCAAGCAGGTAGATGAGGAGTATGAAAGTACAAGAGGCGGGGTGAATTGTATATTTTTAATCTTAATCTCTATTAGTTGACTGGTTTTTCAACTAGTCGACTGGATGCAACAACATAACAGTTATAATAGCAGAATATAAAACGCAGAAAGTAAGTGCAGGAATTAAAGACACCGGAATTTTTATACTGGTTCGGATTCAATGTGAATCCTAGTCCAGTCCCCTTGGGTTGCAAGAGAGTTCTCTTTAGTAAATGCGTTTCTTCGAGTACAAGGGAAATGACGTGATAGCTCAGTTCCTATAGCACTCGTCTCTTTTGATACAATGTCTCGCCAGTGTTATACTCTCCTCTTTCTCTGACTTGTTACACAGTAGGTCCAAAGAACTACAATATTTGTTTGCAGTAGAATAAAGAGAGGATTTTTGGTTCAATCAAAGTATATATGTCTAAGGCTGGATGCTGAGTATAAATACTTTGGTGAAGTCCTCTTGCTGACGAGATTTGACAACCCAAGAGATTTGATCCTTGGAAAGAGATTGATTCTTTCCAAGAATAAGATTGATAGTCGTTGCTCTTCCTTGATGAGAGGAGATTGATCGCAATTGATCGCTTTCCTTCTACAGCTGTTGATGATGAGGGTTTACTCCTAGATTGTTGGTCCTTCCACAATTGGCAGCTCAGCTAGTCTTCTTTCAGAATCCGGATTGAATGTGCTGGCCTTGATTGTTGCCTTAAGTTTAGAGATTCTTTCCATCGCAGTTGTCCATGATCTTTGCTGATTGATTTGTAATCTTTGCTAATTGATTTGTCTCCTTAAGCATCCAAATTGACTTCAGCAATCTCGTAGTTGCTCCTTGATTTCTTGATCTTCTCTGATTGATTTCCTGCACAGATATATTATTTGCATCATTAAAATTAGATCTAACAATCTCCCCTTTTTGATGATGACAAAATAATATATATGTATAAATACCAGTTGACTTTCCTATGTTTTACTCCCCCTCAATGTATGCAGTTGAGGTTCATGGCACTCCTCCTCAGTTCATGCAGTTGACTAGTCCATGGTTGAAGTCGACTCTTGCCACGGAGGATGCTGCTTGTGCCACAGTCAACTATACCTGTACAGATACAATATATACTCTTCTCCCCCTTTTTGGCATCAGCAAAGAGGGAATCAAACCAAGAACTAAACATAATATATAGTATTAAACATTAGCGTTAAAGTTCAATCACAAACACCTAAAGCAAGATAAAAGTAGAAATTGTCCAATGGCTGGGATAACAACCTAAAAACAGCACAGCAAAAAAATTGTCTTAATCAACCACATTAATGATGCAGAAAATAAGTAAGAGTGTTGCAGATGGCCTCCTTCATTTGTTCAAAGCTAGCATTTGCTGAGATGCTCACTCCATCCAACCTGTCATGAATTTCCCTGAAAGCTTTGACAGCATTCTCCCTAACTTTGAGAACAACAACTCTTATCTTCGACACATCAGACCCTGTTTCCTTGGAGATGGCATGAATGTCACCAACAGTAGACTGAGTGGCTGTGAGGATATTTTTGATTTCAGAGAGTTGAGTGTTAATGGCACAAAGCTTTTCATCAAGATCTGGATCACCAGGACTGGGGTGAGAGGTAGGGGGTTTAGATTTGGGTTCTATAGGAGCATGCTTAACTTCACCTTCGTGCTTCTTAACCCAGGAGCCCTTTACACTCACATACCCCATACTTGCAAAAGCTCTAGAGTTGTAGGATTTTGAAATAGTGATAAAGGGATAGTTGGACTGGGAGATTTGATGAGATTCCAGAATGTGAGTGATGGCCATGCCATAGGGTAGACTGGTGGGATCTTCAACATTTTCAATCATGAAATTGATGACTCAGGAGGATAACTTGAGTTTGAGTTTGGTCACAAGGCAGTATACTAAGAAGGTGTCTCGTTGAGAGAAGGTTGAAAAAGAACCAGTGCGGGGAAGCATAGTAGTTGCTACAATGTGAGCCAGGACACGAGTTTCAAAACTAACATCACTGGGGCCTAACTGGTTGGGAAGGGAGTTAGAGGGACACTCAGCAATACACTGTTTAGCTTGGTCAAAGGAAATTTCAAAATCATCGGGCCAGGTATTTTTGAAACGCATAGGAAAACCAGAACATCGATACTGAAAAAGTGAATCAAACAGGGCACAATCAAGAACAATGCGCTTACCTAATACTAAGGATTCCAATATGTCAGGCTTACTGGAGCGGAGATTAGCATAAAACATCCTTACCAGGGGTTCATAGACCTTAGGCGGAGGAATAGAGAGATACTTAGCCCACCCTTGATGAACAAAGAGGTTTTTGACCTTACAATTTAGGGCTTCCATGTCGTCAAGGTCGACTACCCTTCCATGAGCAATGGGCTTGTCCTTCAGAGCAATGAAGAAATCCCTATTTGGAGAATCCCAGAAATTCAGGTCGGATTCTAGAGAGTCAGAGAGATCAAACTTTGATTTCTTTGGGGTAGAGGAGACATGGGGGTCTTCCATAGGGCGTTTTCCTAGGGCTTTTTCTCCTACGGTTTGAGAGTGATCAGACAAATCTCTCTGTGAAGAAGCGAAACCCTCAGAGTGGTCGGACCATAGCTCTACTTGTTCTGGGGGCATAGAAGGGGGTTTTGCTTTGGAGCGGGTACTTTTTCTGGTAGATGCGGAGGGATTTTTGGGTTATTTGGCCATTGAAGGAAAGTGGTTTGGTCGGAGCTTTGGAGAAGGGTTTTTTTATTACAGGGATGAAAGTGATTGAAAGAGATTCTCCGCCTTAAGAAGAGAACCTTCTGACGGTCGAGTCCAGAAAAGGAAAAGGTGTCAGTTGAAGAGACGCGATGATTGGCTTTCCAACTTTGAACGACGAACTGATGTGAAAGAAGAAGAAAAGAGAGGGAAAGAAAACGGAGGCGTAATTAATGCATGAGTAAAGTACAATCATTATACCTGCAAAAATACTGTTGTACACATAGGTCCTATAGGTTACTAGTTAAGCAAGTAATGCCAAGTAATTTTCTTAAAGCACAAAATCTATCTTCTAATAGTGGCTTAGTAAAATATCTGCTAATTGATCAGTAGTTCCAACAAAAGATATTTCTATGTCTCCCTTAAGAATATGATCTCTAATAAAGTGATGCTTGATATCTATATGCTTTGCTCTAGAATGATGCACAAGATTTTTTGAAAGACAAATAGCACTAGAATTATCACAAAAAATTTGTATAGGTTTAAAAGAAAGTTCATAGTCACCCAGTTGATGGGACATCTACAGTAGTTGTGCACAGCATTGTCCAATAGCAATGTATTTAGCTTCAGTGGTAGATAATGCAACTGATGCTTGTTTTTTACTGTTCCAGGATATAAATGCCTTTCCAAGCAATTGACACGTACCACTAGCGCTTTTTCTATCTTCCTTGTCACCTGCAAGGTCAGCATCGAAAAAAACCTTCTAGTTTAAAAGGGTTAGAGCGAGGATACCATAGTCCATGAGATACAGTCCCAATGAGATATCGAATGATTCTCTTTACTGCAGTCAGATGAGATTCCTTAGGAGCTGACTGGAACCTGGCACATTTACACACACTAAACATAATATCCGGTCGACTTGCTGTCAGATACAGTAATGATCCGATCATTCCACGATATTTAGTTTCATCAATAGGGATTCCTTGTTCATCTTTGTCTAGATTTGTTGAAGGACTCATTGGTGTGCCAATGGATTTTGCATTGCTCATGCCAAATTTTTGAATCAGTTCCTTTGTGTATTTGGTCTGACATATAAAGGTTCCTTCTTCAGATTGTTGAATTTGAACTCCAAGGAAGAATGTTAGCTCTCCCATCATGCTCATTTCAAATTTGCTTTGCATAAGATTTGAAAATTCCTTTCACATAAGAGGGATAGCACTACCAAATATAATATCATCAACATAAATTTGAATAATGAGATTACCTTCTGATGATCTTTTAATAAACAAGGTAGTGTCTACTTTACCTCTTGTGAAGCCATGATCAACGAGAAAAGAACTAATGCACGTGGAGCTTGCTTTAGTCCAT